TAATTATTAAACAACACTATTAAATATAAATTAGGCAAACGTGCATTGCACGTTGCTTGCACCTAGTAGTTTAAAAAGTTGATAAAAATATATATTATAGTCAACAATTAATTTAAATAACACATTTAATGAAATCTGCAGCTTTTCAAATACATATTTCATCAATTTTTATCTAAATCTACTAAAATTTAATTCTATATCAAACAAGGACTTTATGTATCATATGCTATATATTTCATAATAATTTTTCTATCATGAAAGGTAAATTTCTTTGGCATATCATGAGAACGTTGCTGAATTGTTTTTAGTCACGTTATATTCATATATGATTTTTGATTCCTACCTCGTAGAACATGATACGTGTTCAAAAATGAAGGTCAAATTGTCAAAATAAAATAAAATGAAATAACTCCTAAAATATTACAAGGCTCAAAGGAATAACTACCAAGTCAAAAGGTCCCATTACTGCCAATTTGACTACTGATGAATTTACAATTTTTAGAGTCATGCTACAATGTTTTGATATAATCCTTAACATAATATTACATGACATTTCAATATTGGACCATTTTAAACGTAATCAGTTTTTTCATCAAATTATTTGCTATCACATCGAATTAGGTCACCGTATCTGTTAAATTTCTTCTAACAAATTGGTAGAATCCCAATTTTTATATCCTTCAATAATTACCGTACATAGCCTATTTTCTCTATAAATATTATTATAGTGCTTAGCAATCAACTTGTCTCAACTCCTTGAAAGAGAAGGACAAAAATGATGATGATGATGATGATGATATGCAAATTTTTTGAAGACTTGAGAAGAACCAATATTTTGTTATGTGAGTGAACAAAATTTAACACCATGATTATTTATTTCCCACTATGTGGAAATAAATACGCTACGTTTCAAATATGAACTCGCAATTTGTATTGTGAAAGTATAATACAATTGGCACAAACAATTGCGGGTGCTATCGTGCTAGTATCCTCTTCTCAGAAAGCTGCAAGAACTGTAAAAACAGCGGAGAAAGGTCCGAAGAATGCCAGCATAGTGCTTGCACAAAGCAGATAAATGTAGTCATGCTGATATCATTAGGTATTCTGGATCCAGATCTTCTCTTGAATCCAAGAAGAGGAAGACTCCAGTCAACTGAAGCATTCAACATTACAAGCAGGAACTATATTCTCAGCATCTGACCAAATATTTTTTCATGGCTGTTCCCTTGTTATACTTGGTTTTGTTCGAGGATAAATGTAAATAAAAAACTTGTCCCCTTTAGATGAGGTCGACTAGATCATGTAGAGATTCTAAGTTCGAGTCTGGCCACCAATTTATGAGATTGAATGCGTCAAATGAAAAATTGAATATGACCAGCCCCGTGAGGGGTGTTGTAAGAAAAGTTAAACAAATAAATATCTTCATTTTCTAATCATTTAATCTTTTAGATAAGACGGTTCAATGGGCTCTACGAATATTTTGACATTACATCAGAGAGTGTACTCTTCTTCATCAACGACAAGTTGACCTACAATAATGGGATTTGGCTTCTCAATTCCATCAAAGCTTAGCTGGGCTCAGGTTATTTTTTTTTACATATAAATCATGTTTTCTATGTTTTTTAAGAGTAACAGTTCTTTCATCTCTTCCACTTTCTGGTCTTTCTTTACTGGCAGTATGTAAACCAGCATCGAGCTTCTTGAAGTTCAAATGCAGGTTTTTGGTTGAGCTCTCAGCCTCTCATTAATTTAATTCAAGAGTTGATTAAAAGCTCCGCCAGTTGTACTTTCATACAGCATGAAGGAATTTTATTAAAAAATAAATCAACTTTAACTTTTAGAGTGTGTTTGGGATACATTCTTTTGAAAGAATGTATTATTGAATAATAGATTGATGGAAAATGTGTGGTTAAAAATGAAGGAAAATTTATTGATGTGATGGAAAATATTATTTTATTGAAAAATGTGTGGTTGAAAATGAGTAGAAGAATGAGAATGAAAAAAATAATGTGTACCAAACAGGGCCTCAGCTTGTTTCATGGATTGAAACAATTT